TTTTTAAAAGGCAGGTAATAAATGTTGGCAGAATGTGGAGAAATGGGATCTATCTACATTCCTAATGGGAATATAAAATGGTGCAGGCACTTTGGAAAGAAATTTACCTTTCCTCTAAAGGTAGGTTTACCATATGAGCCAGGAATTTCACTGCTAGATATGAACTCAAGAGAAATGAAAACCTATGTTCCTGAAAAGATGTGCACACAGTTGTTTAGAGAAGCAGTATTTCTGATAGCCAAGAGGTGGAAGCCACCTAGATGGCCAGGAAGTGATGAATGATAATAAAATGTGGTATCCATCCCGTGGGATATTGCCTCAAAAAGGGGCACTTATTAGAGAGGGGGGAGAGGCGTGGCTGCCAGGGCCTTTTGGGTTTTCTTCTATTTATGAAAGTATTTTCAGTTTAGATCACAGTTCCACAGTTCTAAATATCCTAAAACCCATCGACTGTGTATGTTAAATGGGAGGGCTTTATGTAATGTGTATCTCAAAAAAATCAATTTGGAACTTGTGCTCTGGGGTCAGTCTGGAGTCAGAGCCGGGACAGCTTTCCCCCAGCTCAGTAGCTTTCCTGTCTCCTCTGGGGCGCTGAGGGCAGGCTCGCTGCTGATGCCCTTACCCAGAGTGTGACCCTGGGGTTTTTCGCTGGTGCTGAGGGTCTGTCTCAGACTCCCCACACCGCGGGTCCTGACGTTTGGCTTCTGTCCTCTTCACTCCGATGTCATCCCAACTGAAGCTCAGGTTCATGTGGAGCAGGGGAATCAGCGGTCTCTGTGTTGCTGCTGTCCCACCCTGCCACAGTTTAAGGCCCACACGCTCACCCCAGCGTCTCAGTGCTTTTAAGAAGGTATTTTTATTATAGATTTTACAGGATCCTGAGTTGGATCCAGCTGACTCCTATTCTCAGAAAACGATAGTGCCTTTAAATCCTTAATGACTTTAAGTTCATGGCTTCCTCCTCCTTTAGTTCCCTCCCTTGCCCCTCTAGAGCTCTCACACCTTCCCTTTCTCCCCTTTCTTCGGATCTCTTTCCAAACTGCACCTGTGGGTGAGGCTTCCTTTGAATGCATTTACGAAGCCAGATTCCCCTCCTCGTTACTGTCACCTGCATGGTGTGTTGCTGACACCAAAACTCATTGCCATGACATATTTTGCTTTTGATCATTGAGGAGTTTAGTGTCGGCCTTTTCCTGCCTGGATCCTAAATCCTAAGAGCAGGGATTTATACATGCTGATCCCCCACATTTCATGCACACCTGGTTAAAAGCATAAATGCATGGCAAACCATCTTGGAGCACACTGCTATATATTTTAGATCAAATAGCTGCTTCTGGAAAAATCTGTCTCCTGCCAGAATGTGAGTGGGCTTCCAGCTTGTCATGCGTGAAATCTATGTTCTAAAATCTGTGTGGGCGTTACTATTTTTGCCCTGAAGAAACGCGCCACTCTGACAATTGGTGATGCTCCCTGGGGAGGTTCCCGGTGGCGCAGGGCCCTGTCAGTATTCCCAGTTCTCACTGTTGTTCCCACGTATACACCAGGGGCCCCAAGGTGCCTCCTTCCCACCCAGTGCCGCGGCAGGTAGAACAGCCCTGCAGCAGTGTCGCGGCCAAGGAGAGGTATCGGTGGCTGTGGCCCTGCTTGTCTCGGATGGGTCTTTACCAGCCAGGGCAGTGACATAGACATTTCCTTGGTTGTGGTGGTTAGGCTGATGAGCTAGACGCCTCCTTGCTCACCCCTGTGAGTGGCTCTGTTAGTGGTTACGTGCTCAGACCAACGGCCCAGGGATAACTCCACTGAAGCAAAGGTGTGAACTGTGTTGTTTCCACTTCCTCTGTCTTGGGAGCCCCTCTGCCGTGAAAACAAGTGTGGATGAGCCTGCTGGAGGGGTGTGTGAGCCGCACAGAGCCCAGCCCAGGCATCCCAGCCAGTGCTGTCCCAGAGCAGCCAGGTCCCACGCACTTGTTGGAGACCTGGAGAGGTGAGCAAGCCCGGCCAGAGTCATCAAGTCTAGCCCAGATCGGTAGAGCCCTCAAGGGAGCCCACAGTCTGGGGCGGGGGAGAGTACTAGCAAGGTGGGTTTGCTCTGGGCCACCGAGGATTAGCTGTGATGCTGCGATAAAGACTGCCCAAGCCAGGTGTGTGGCACACACCTGTAATCCCCATATCGCGGACAGCTAAGTCAGGTAGAAATATTATAGGCAGTCAGATAGGGCTAGCCCTCGAGAGAGTCAGGACAAAGGTAAAATACCTTACAGCTGTGGCTGGAGGCACATCTATTGGAAACCAGGCCTCAAGATAAAGGTGAAATGCCCAGGCCTGCACACTTCACCAAAGGACAAGGCGAGTGGTAACACCAGCCTAATGAAGTCTAGATAGACATCAGTCCCTCCGGTGGGTGACCATGACCAAGACCTCCCAACTCTCTCCTAGAAAAGCTCTTTGTTCTTTCTATGCATGCTTGTTAAGTGACTTGTTCCCCACTGGATCACTTATTACCTAAGCAACTATATTTTGTAAACTTACCGGTGGATCATAGCTTTAACCCATGTTGTACCCACATGCTGTATAAAACTTCCCTGAAAAGCAGGGTCCTCAGATACCCACTCCGGACCCCTCCTGCCTCTCAGGTGCTATCCTCTCAATGGACATTTCCTACTCTTACTTAATCTCTGTTGATCCTAGAATTCATTGTTCGATTTTACAGACTTCTAACGGGTTGGGAGCTGTAATATTTCCCTTTTATCATTTGGAGGTCCTATTCATCTCCCATATCATCCTCTTATCACCAGTACTCTAGGAGGCTGAGGCAGGTACATCACAAGTTCAAGCCCAGACTGGGCAACTTAGTGATTTAGCAAGACCTTGAATCAAAATAAAAAATAAAAACCGGCCTGGGAATGTAGCTTAGAGGGAGGGCCCTGAGGCAGGGGTGTAAGGGCTGGTAACAGGGGAGAGGAATGGTCAAAATATATTTATAAGCACTGAACCCCCCACCCCACAAACTAAGACCAATCCATGATGCAAGCAGGAAACAATCTTTACAACCCGCTCTGCCAAGCATTTTTGCCTCTCACATAAAAAAAAAAAAAAAAAAAAAAAAAAACAAAAACA